CCTTTATATCATTGATCGAAATTCAGATTTTCCGAATATATAAGTAAGTAAGCTCAATATTATTTTAGAAATGATCCAAATTGCCACTTCTGCTTGCAGCAACTGGCTTTCTAAGAAGGATGGTCATGTGACCTCGCGCATCCAAGATGATGATGATGAAAGCGAAAGAGTTCGGCAGTCTGAGTCTGGCTCTTGAAATATGTGTAGCTGAGAACAAGTGTCCGTTTTAAAGCCTTCAATTCATATTGCCTTTAAAAGACAAATGTATTCTTAAGGACTCATCCTATCAAAAAATAATCAATCAGCATCCAGTTGCATCTCGGCTTAATATAATATTATAATGTTTTACACTTCGTTTTGAGCGGTAACTGATGATCACGAGATTTTGTTTGTGGTAAGTTCATATAAAAGTTTTAACTTTTTAAAATCACATTTAGCCAGAAGTGGTCATCAAACCCGACATGAGTAGCAAAGGTAAATTTGGGACAAAATTGATGCCAACGATGACAACGATCTGTCTAAGAAGATACCAATCTTTTCACTAACTATTTTAGCAGGTGAGACTGATTCAGTTGCACTTGAAGCATCGGGAACCTGAGCATTAGGAGTGGTGGCTGTAGTTGGTACTGCAGCTGATGTAGATGTGAAAGGAATGGTGGCCATTGGTGAAGTGTAGGAAATACCGGCGCCAGCTTTTGCCTCTTGCTTGTGCCAATCCACCTGTGGATAGTCGACCGCATCACGAAGCTGTGATGACTTGGCGGTATGGAGATTGCTAAGGGAGCCAGTAGGTGTCGTCTGTGGACTTGATGAATGAGGATGCAAAGCAAGCAAGATAATAACTATAATGACATAAACAGTGGAGACTAGGGCATATGATAGATCTAGCCATAAAATATAAACAAATAGTAATATAAAATAAGAAAGAAGATCCCTTCTCTTTTCAATGGCTGTATATGTTCTCACTTGAAAGAGTAAAATCCCAGTAGGTTCGCCTTAATTTAAAAAAGCAGCATCGTTGAGAAAAGCAGAGAAAATTAAACATGATGACCTTCGTTTTAGAGATACCGGGAAAAAATCAAATCATAGAACTGGTATTCTGGATAGAAACAGGATAGAGATGGCGAGGACCAAAGCTAGTTGGCTCACGGTAGGTCAGCGAAAACTTTGCACATTGCCTAAACATATTCGGAGAAGACCAGGCAACAGTAAGATCAGCAAAAAGAAGACGACTAGATCAAGGAAACATCTTTACTTTTAGGAAAAGAAGTCTCAGGGGAACCATAAAGGAAAAGGCCAAGAGGAGACGTCTTCAATGAGGCTAATCAAAACAAGTAAAACCCCAACATTTGTGAGTTGGCACACAAGAGATTAGGGCACAGTGAGTCATAGACTTGGTATTAGTGATAGAAACAGGATAGATGCGGCGGAGACTAGAGCTAGTTGGCTGACAGTAGGCCTGTTGTACCATAGATGTGGTCCATGAAACAATGGATTGACCATAGGATTTATTCAGAAGCTTTAGCCTCGAATTAGTCACTCAGACACAGGGGAGGGGTAATAACTCCTCTAGTAGCACATATGGGGTGGCAAGGGTCGGGTGAAATACGTGAACCAGGGAAAGAGCAGACGGGTCTTACGGGACAAGAGAGAGACTATGATAAGACATAGGAAAGAAGGATTGCGTAACAATATGGCAGACTCTGATCAACATTCCCAACACAAGGATAAAATAGGGCTGAGAATGCCAGCGTTGAGTGTGGAGGATTCTCATGAAAGCCGCTAAAAATGACACACTAAACTACATTTAAAGAAGCAAGGAAATAATTGTGATAGTGAAGGCGTGATACGATGATATAGGAGAGGTGAATAGCCCAGGACAGAAGGAGAGATACCATAACTGTTTAGCACACGTTTGGACAAAGGATCAGCTTCACTTGTCTCTATTGACGAGTTTTTGTGTGGTTCTAAGAGTGGCGAGACTCACTGACGATGCCGGCGAAACGCTTGAGAATGTACCACTTCTACGGTCCTGCATACGATGGACTCTGGACTAGATGCACTCCTCTAAGCCTTCCTACCAATATGACCAAGTTGCAAAGACAAGGTCAAACAGCTTCTATAAGATTTTAATTCTGGAGCCGTATACAAAGAGATAAATGATAGCCAAGTCACCCATTGAATTGTGTCAAAAAGACTACTTGGCATTTAGATTAATAAGAGTTGACATCCAGGCAAAATGGTGCGTTTGCCTGATAGATTTAAAGCGAAAAAACTTATTTCCTCTTTTCTCTTTTTTGCCTCATTTAAGGGTTACTTTCATCGTCTGAAAGCAAGGCTGGGCCTATGGACAACAGAACCGAGTGTGCAACTCCCTTATATCATTTTGACGATAAGGAGTTCTGCAGACAGGAGTTAGACAAAGGTTTCTAAGCAGCAGACTAGAGGTTAATGTATTCGGATTACGCACAGAAACTTAAAAATAGTCTATACTGAGACTAACTAGCTGAGGGAATTTTTTGAAAAAAATTCACAAATATGCATGTCTAGCCAATAAGATCTTTGAAAAAGCAAATAACTCGCGAAAACACCATCTAGGAATGCCCCAAATAGTATATGAAAGATTCTGGACTCCGAAAATTTGTTTCGTCTGAAACAAAGATAAATTTAGACATTAACAGTAATACGAAATTCTAATTTATAAGTATGCAGGAGGTAC